CCCCCCAATCTGTTTCAGGTTGGGCTGAAGTAAGACATTTGTACGCTTTTTTCTTTTCCCAGTTTCAGTACAAGATAGAGAATCAGAAATTCGAACTTCTGTACTGAAAGTCTTCCCTTTATTTTTTAATTTTTTTTTAAAGAGAGAATGTATTCAAACCTCATGTTTAAATCAGAGCGGGGGCTGAGTGCAGAATGCAGGGTGTCTTTCCTCGGGGGAGATGTGCAGAGCCCTCAGCAGAGGCACCCTGTCCACTCAGCCGTGTCTTACAGGACTCCTCAGCCCAGCTGCTGCAGGAGCACAGCCCCTGCACCGATGAGGATTTAAGACTGATCATCCCACCCTCTCCTCGGCACCTCCTTGAGGTGCTGAGTGCTCCTGGTTCCTGTACTCATAGGCAATAGGGAGGCACTTCACAACCAGCCTCAACACTCATGGTGTCCATGAACAACCTCATCCTCTCATCTATTGACCTCGATTTGGGGCATCCTCCCTCCCCCAAAAACTGCCAGCCCTCAGAACAGCTCAGCTCTCTAGTGAAACCTCACCCCAGGGCAAGAACTATGACCTGAGCTTGCCATCTTCCCTTCTCATGGCCTTAGCAAAGCCCAGCTAGGAAATGTGGGGACCAGAGGGAAGGCTGCAAGAAAAAAAAAAAAAAAAAAGTGATGGTGTAAGCCAAAACGTCTTGCTAACACTTTTCTTCTGTCTTGCTTTTACAGTTAACAATGGGAAATCTGAGTCATGGCCAAGGGGCAGGTGAAATGATGCAACACCTAGAGTTATGTGAGACTCATAGCAAAAAGGAGGGTTTCATCATAAAATAAGGAAATCGTGTATGCAACAGTAAAAGATGTTGAAGTTCAGTGGCATCTTTTTCACGAGTAAATGCAAAAGCCAGTGGAGTGAGAAGTAATAAATCAGATACAGCCTCATTCCCACAGCACTTTGCCGCCTATTCCAAAAGCTAAATGCCCCCACTTCCAAAGTGGGTGCCTGCCTGAGGGGCCTCCCCAGCGTGCCAGGAAATGGCTAAAAGCCCCGAATTCAACATCAAGGGTTGTGCTCACCGCAGGACACCAAACTGCAGGCTGTTGTGTGTTCAAAGAAAGGCACAGGGAGACTTACTTTTCTGAAGAGGAGGAAAGCCACTTATTATGAAACTGCTATTTTGCTGGGGTTGCTGTGCTTTAGCAGCTCTGCGGCACAGGACGAGAGTAATCCATTTAATCAATGTCTTGTTTCAAATGGGGCTTTAATTAGGCAAACCATTAGGATACACCTTCTTCCCTTCTGTGCTTTTCGAACAAGGTATCTGCTAGCTTCTGTGATGCTTGGATTGGGCTCACTGGACCACCCTGCTCAAGGATATGCAGGGGCTGCTCCTTCCCCGTGACCCGTGGCCACTCGTGTGCTTTACAGACCCGTTTTACATTATCGGCCACAACCGAGGCTGTTCTCATAAACATGGAATTAATAATTTTCCATTTAAGCCTGCTCATTGTTTACATGTCTTAAGGTAGGGACAGCCCCTGGGTAATTACACACTTCACAACGAGTTTGCTTTACTACCTCGAATGGCAAAAGCCCTTTTAACCATCTGAAGTGAAACAAGCCGGCTTATGAAGTTTAGTCTTTCAAAGAGAAGGGAGAAAAAAGGCAATGTAGACATTTGCAAATTCTGGATTTGCTGCCTAACTCTGCTAGGAACTTTTCTAGTTTGGAGCAAGTGAACGTGCACTCTGAGAGCCTGCGAGCTAAACAGCAGCACAAACACCCACTTTCCTCCACCTCTGCCTTGTCAGCTGAGACGGCAAACGCTTTTGGCAGGAACCGTCTCTCGCTATCTGCCTGGCATCGCTCAAAGCCTCACACCACATCCGCTGCACGAACGCCGGGCTGTATCCACACCTCCCACTTACCAGCCACCACTTGTAACTCTCTTCTGGGATCAAGGCGTTTTGTGAGGTCAGGAAAGGTTGCATAGTTGAATTAAATCTCTGATCGAACCAGAGGGAATGTCCCAGCTCAGAAATGCACGTGCGACAGCTGCATGGTCTCCTGGGGTACTTGAAGAGTTTTTGGACTTGCTCTGAAAACTGCACGATGAGATGTCTCAGATCCCAGGTGGTCGTGGTCACCTGGTGCGTGTAGTTCAGCAGAAATGACGTTACTGTGATGAGCAAAAAGGCGAAGGTAAACACTTTCACGTTCCTCCTCCTTACGACAACCATGTTTCCCGCTGAGGTTCTGCCGTCACCGCTGACCAAGTACAATGTAGGGTCCAACGTAAGGCAAAAAGGGTGCTGCAGGTGCCTCCCAGTCACCACCTCGGGCTTAGGCTGAACATACCGACTCCACTACCTCCATCCGTAACGGAAGAAGCTTTGTTTCCTCCACATGGGTTTAAAAAAGGCAAAGCTGGGTGTTTCCTTTCACCTTCTCACAGTGTTTTTAAGTCTCTTCCCACCTCTCTGTGACCTGCTATTAACCCCTCCTGATGAGGGTTCAATGAAGACAGACCCTTTATACTTCCATGTAACAGAAGATTTAGAGGGGAGCAATATCAGCATTAAAATGTAGGTTTTCTGTGTGAGAGCAAGCCATAAATTAAAGAAACCAAAATGTAGAAAGGAGAGTTGTGTGTTGTTGTTGTGGTTTTTTTTTTCTTGGAAATTAGTTCACAATGGATCAGATTATCCTGGGATGCACGTTCCAGCAGAGAGATGTGCTATGATGTCCATTTAAGCCGTGGGGAGCAGTTTGCAGCCTGGAGACACACACACACAGAAAGAAAGAAAAATCGTCAGAAAGTTTTTTGTATTCCTCCCAACATAATTTATTTGCTTTTCTCTGCCTATCCTAAAACTTCTGATCAGCTTATAGCCCTCAACACAGCAGCACCAGCTGCAATTTCTGCTGCTGTATTTGCATACTGAGAAGTTTCAGGTTGAAATTTCCAAAAGGGCAGAGCATCGACCTGTGGACATTGAGTCCCCTTTGTATTGAATCAACCCCGGTGCTCAGGCCTTATTTGAATTACATTTTGTAGCCCTTTGAATGGCAATGACTCACCTCCTTCCCTTCGACTGACCTTGATAACCACAAGATACGCAGGGACGTTTTCATAACTCAAAGCAGCTGAACAAAAAGCACTCGGCAAAGGAGGGAGGAGCAGGATAGGGAGGAAGAGGAATCAGTTCCTTTCTCTTCCTCCCCACTACTGGCTTAATTTCTTAAGGATCAGGGCTGAACTCGTGATCCAAAGAAAACCAAGCAAGAACAGCTCATACATCCTGGGACAGACAGGGGAAATCAAAGTATAAATGGCCTTTGTTTCATGCAGATTATTGCTATTTTTCTTGCCAAGGAAGGGTAGGTGAGGGCAGCCTATGATTTCAGAGAGTTCCCATGAGACCCCAAACCAGGCAGAGGCAGGGAGCTGCTTTGCCTCGGTGAGTTGGGGGGATACAAAGGGACCCAGAACTGCTCTCTGTTCCCCTCCTGGTGTCCCCTGCCTGGCAGCAGTAATTTAAACAAGTTTTTAAAAGTCAAAAAAATGGAACCCTTCCTCCCACAATGCAATTGTTTCGTGAGAAGGAAAACATATTGTGGTTTTTAAAACTTCGGATGTTTGCAAAAAGCCCCCAAAGTGCCATTGCTTAAACAACACTCTTTTGATTAAAAAAAAAAAAAAGAAAGAAAAAAAAATATCAGAGAAACAACTGTGTCAGATTATGTGCAATTTTTGAACAAGCAAAAGCCCAGCAAAAGAAGTTTCATTCGCTGCTCAGCTGTAGGCTTCAGGCCAGCAAGCAGCAAAACTGCAACTGTTAGCGCTAAACCCCACCATTTTAACCCATCCTGTGTGCCACGTTGGTGCAGGATCCCCCTCGTTTCATCATCCAAATCCAGTGGTTATCCAGCCATGGAGGAAGTGCATCTGGTGGCCACAGGTCTGGGCTGGGCACAGCATCCCTAGCTTGGTTGCTTGCTGGCTTTTCTCCTGGGAATCCACGAGGAGCTGCCCAAGGCCAAGCGGCTTTTCCAAGGGGTTTGATACAGTGTCTTAGAGACAGCACAGGCCTGGTTTTCAGAGGCAGTGTGTAAATATTTACTAAATCCTGTAAAGACTCATGTGAAGGCAGGAGACTCAGACCCTGGTCTTAAGTCTTTGCTCTGCTTCAAGTTTCTCATCTGCAGCACGTGATGGGTAGTGTGTGCCATACAATTAGCTGCTGTTTGCCAAATACCTCGAGATTTATTTTAAGTCTGGCCCCTACAAATGCATTTACAGGAGCTCAAGGGCTGACAAGTGGGTCAGGCTGGATAACAAAAGGCTTTATTAACCCCAGCTGCTCAGGCTTGCCTGCGCCAGTAAATTAAACAGCACCATGGAACAATCCTGCTCTCGCTTTAAGTTTTTAGAGGAAAATTTTGGAGCCAACCAGAAACCTTCCAAACTATTCCTGGGTACAAATCAGGAACTGTAACCCAAAAGGTGGTGGGGATGCTGCCATTGTGCCTTGGAGAGTTAGAAAAGGAGCTTAAGAGCACAGCCCCTGTGCATGGCCCCATCCACACCAGCTGGCCTCTGTGCCGGAGAGCAGCCCCAAACACATTTGCTTCACTAGCCTGGATGCAGTTGTTAGTCTAAACAAAACCACAGCCTCTAACACAACACCCCAACACCCACCCCCCCACCCCCCAGATATGCCAAATCCCAGAAGCAAACTGATTATTCTCCATTTATGGAGCAGATAATTCGAGAGCTGCGATGCTGGTGGGTCGAACCCCTACTGCTGTTAATTCTGGGCCAATTCAATATTTGTAAACACAACTCCTGCTCTTCTATTTTTTTTTTTTTTTAATGGAGGAGGGAGGGGGATTATCTAGAATTTCTTGGAAAAGCCTGAGTATTGTTCATAAAAGAAACAGTTCTAGCTTCCAAAACAAACACTCATTTCACCAGATATTTTTTTTTTGGTAACTGAGCTAATTT